CAATGAGTGGGTGCCACACGAGTTGACACAAAAAAAACCTCATGTACCTAATTTCCATCTGCGAAGCGCAACTGAAATGCAATAAAATCGAACCATTTCTGAAGCGGCTGGTGACTGACAATGAAGAGTGGATCATTTCTGACAACGTCTAACGAAAACGGTCGTTGTCGAAAATCGGTGAGCTGGCGGAAACTATGGCCAAGCCAGGATTGATGGCCAGGAAGGTTTTGCTGTGTGTTTGGTGGGATTGACAGGGAATTATCCTCTAATGCAAGTAATGCAAAACTCTTATTTCAGAACTGTATTGGACCGTCTGAAGGAAGCAATCGCCAAGGAGCGGTCAGCTTTGGGGCTTAAGAGAGGAATTGTGTTTCATCAGAACAATACCAGGCCTCACACATCGATAGTGACTCGCCAAAAGCTCCGGCAGCTTGGTTGGAAGGTTCTTATGCATCCACCATACAGTCCGGGCCTGGTCCCAGGTGATTACCAACTGTTCCTGTCCTTGGCGAACAATTTTGCTATTGAAAAATTCATTTCATGAGAAAATTATGAAAATCGTTTGCCTCAGTTTTTTGCTAATAGGAACGAGGGCTTCTGTAAAGCATAATAAAATTAACTTTAAAATTGCAACAAGTGATCGACCGAACTGCGCATTTTTGTTCTAAATCGGATCATTCTAATTATGGTAATCAAAGACTTCAATTTCATGCGGGAATAATGGATTTATTTTTACTACATCAATATATTGTATATAATATAATTAGGTATCGTCCCGGTTTAGAAAGCCATAAATCGTGTCGACTCATCGGATGCTGTCAATGACAACGCGTCTACAGAATAAAGAAAGACAGGAATGACAAGCGTGTGTTGAGCTTAATTTTTTCTGTCTACAGAGGACTTTACTTTTTATTTTCCTACACAAGTCGAAGCACCAACTGTTGGGCGGATTTGCTGGCATTTAAAGTGATGACCTTCTGCACTACATTGGTAGCCAATGTATGATAGATGTTCTGCGAAATTCTGAAACCTCGTTTGGTACTGCACGGCTTGTAGAAGTACTTCCCAAATCTGATTTTGCTTTTAGGTTAACTCAGTTTCAGGTTGCATAGTCGTACATGTTTTGTGGGGAAACTAAACTCAGACAAAATGGCCTGGAGACAGCTACTTTTCGTGCTGACGAAAGCTACTTTAAAGTCGGCAAAGCGGGGGTGCGTGTCGTTCTATTCTCACGGACCTCTGCAGGATTTGACGCATGGTGAATGGAGGTCAATGGTAGACTTGTCTTGATGCCTGAGTGGATGCACTGACAATATTGAACAAAATGGTCGAGGATTGGTTTCAATCTCAAACACAGATTAGACCTAATATTACATGAAAGTAGGAGGCTTAACCCACGATAAATGGCGCAGATTATGGGGTATCCATTTATAAGGATTGTGCGGGCCATATTTAAGTTTTAATCGTGGGACATACTTCCGTTTGACCATATATTGCACCCTTATTAATTCCGTGCAGTTACATATATTTGAATAGCCCAGCCGCCTTGTTATTCTTTAAACGGTCCGAAATCCGGAAAACCAATATCCCAAAATTGTGTTAAAAATTTTCAAATTTCCCCCTTGCGGTCTTTCACGTAAATATGTGTGTATCATATATACTTACATACATACATATGTACACCGTGTTTTACCCGCACGCAGATAATATGCAGTCGATTATAATTCACTCCGATTTTCATGACACCTTTACGCTTTTTCATAACCGTTGCTTGTTTGTCTGTGGAGCTTCTCTACTCTATGGGCTTTTACTTTTGCCGGCAGATATTTGTGTATGTGCCACGCTGTATATATGTATATATTTTTGACTTTTTTTATTGGAAAGTTTACTTTACTTTGTATAATATTAACAAGAATTTGCCAAACGCAATTGGGTCGTGCGATTCGGTGTTAGTGGGGCGCAAGCTGAACATTAGCATTTGCCGCTGGTGGCTTTTGTAATTTGGAAAATTCACTTGTGAAAATCTACCACTTCAGTGATGATTCTAAAGCCATTTGTTTGTGCCCTGCCTCACTTAGTCACGCTTTCAAACAACTTGTAACAAGCGTTTGGAATTGCTTTTAAGTGAACAAAACTTCATGCTTTGTTGACATTCTGCTTCTTCTTAGACATTGTGCCGTTGATTTTGAGAACACCTCAATACCATCGCTTAAGTTGCTAAGTTCAATACCAAAAGTTTGCTTGGAAAATCATTAATGTATTAATTTACGATATCACGATATCACGATTTCGGTTTGAAATTAACATTTGATTTCATTTATTACAAAAACAACTAAAATAATAGCATTCCTTCTCGAAATTTAAAAAAAAAAAAAACGAGACGAAAATGTCACAAAATAAGCTTACAAAATTAGAAATTAAAAAAGAAAATGAAAAATAAAAGAAAATTGAATTAAATTAATTAACATAAAATAACTTAAAATAAGAAAAAAAATAATAAAGAACTAAATGAACTAACTAAAAAACTTAATTAACAAAAAAAAAATTAACAAATTAAGCAAAAGAAACTAACCTAATATAAATAAAAAATTTCAAAATTAAAAAAAAAAAAACAAAAAAATAAAAATGAAATAAAATAAATATAGAAGAAATCAAACAAAAAATTTTACTAATTAAAAGATACGAAATAGAGTAAAATAAATTATATAAATATATAATAAAGTTAAATAAAACCAACAAAGCAAGAATAATAAAAAATAAATAATAAACAAAAAATAACTAAATAAAAACACATTAAAGAAATAAAACAAAATAAAAGAAAAAAATGAAATAGTTTAAGAAATTAAAAATATATAATCAAATAAAATAAAATTAAGTTAAAAAATATAAAATAAAAAAATCTAAAAAATAAAATGAAATAAAGCAAATTAATATTAAAAAAAATTATAATAAAAAAACTAAAACATAATACGTTATATAAATTAATATATAATAAATAAGTATATAAAACCAAAACAAAGTTTAAAAATCAATTAAGGTAAATTTAATTGAATTTAAATACAATATTATAAAATAAACTATATTAAAATGAAAAAATTATATTAAAAAAATATTAAATAAAAAATATATTCGATAAAACCAAGTAAATTAATATAAAATAAAATTATATTAATGAAGACAAAAAATTAATTTAAAAAGACAAAAAATTGGATTAAAAACTTGAATAAATTAAATTAAAGATTAATTAACATATTATTGAATAAAATATTTATATAAAACACAAAGAAATTAAAATAAAATAAAATAAATTAAAATAAAATTATAAATATTGAATAAAATATATAAAACAAAAATTTATTAATTAATTTATTAAAAATATTTTTTTGTAAGTAAGGCGAAATAAAAACAAAAAAAAGGAAAAGAGCAAAATAAAAACAAAAATAAATCAATTTAAAAAAGACTAGCAAAACAAATTTAATATATAAAATTAAAATAATGCAACATTTTTGGAAAAAACTAAAATAAAATAAATTAAAATAAAGTAATAATATTTAACTAAAAAATTAAATGGAAAACTAACTGAATAACATAAGTTAAAGTAAAATAAGTTAAATTAATGATAATAAACACAAACAAAATTTAAAAATTGTAAACAAATTATATGATATAAAATAAAATATATTTAAATAAAAAAATTAAATTAAAAAAATTTTAAATAAAAAATATTATATATTAAAATTAAACAAAGTAAATTAGTATGAAATAAATTGGAGAAAAAAGACAAAGAAATTATACTAAAAGCTCAAAAAACTAAATTAAAGACAAATACAATATTATTAAAAAAAATGTACACAAAATAATAAAATAAAATAAAATAAAAAATAACAAAATTGAACTGTGTCAAAAAAAAAAAAGAATGAAAGAAGTAAAATAACAAAAAAAAAATAATTCAAAAATAGACAAACAAAATAAATTTAAATTATAAATATCATATATATTAAATTAAATTTATTCAATTATTATAAAATAAGATTAAACCAAACAAAATAAAATAAAATTAATAGTAAAATATGCCAAAAAGTCCTAAAAAAGTATAATAAAAGAATATTAAGTTACACAAAAGAAAATAATTAGATAAAATAAATGAAAATATTGCAATAAAGTTTTATTAATAAATTATGTATAAAAATAAATAGAGAATTAACTAAAATAATGTACATTGAAATAAATAAAGCTAAATCAATTGAATGAAACTAAAATAAAATATAATAATAAAAAAAATTATATGAAATAAAATAAAATAAAATAAAAATCAAAAACATTAAATAAAAAAATAAAATAAAAAAAACATTCAAAATAGAATGAAATATAATATAAGAAAATTATATGATATAAAAAAATTTAAAAAAAAATCAAAAACATGAAATAAAATATATAAAAAAATATTTCAAATAGAATGAAATAAAGGAAAATAATAAATATTCATCGTTTTTGAAGGAAAATTAAATAATGAAATAAAGTTACATAACCAAATGATGAAAAAATAAAGATAAAAAACTCTTTTTGCCAAAAATCATAAAATTAAATTAAATACCATAAAAAGAAAAAATAGGAAATATAAAATTTAAAATTTATTAAAAGTTAAATTAAATTACATAAAATTGTATAAGACAAATAGAATGAAATGAGATAACGTAAGATAAAAAAAATAAATTAACTTAAATTAACTTTTTTAAATGAAGTAAAGTAAATTTGAGCAAAACAATAAATGAGAATAAAACAAAACCAAATTGAATGAAATAAAAGAAAATAACGTAAATAAAAAAGGCAAAATAAAACAAATTAAAGAAAACGAAAACAAATAATATGTAGTTAATTAAAAAAAAAATAATTAGTGAAAAATATAATAATAAAACCGAAATAAAAGCAGAAGTAAATAATTTTATACTGTGCACAAATTATTTAATATTAATTTTAATAATCTTCTCTTCTTCTTGCAGAAAATTGTGGTTCGCGTACTTCATAATCAATTACAAAAAGAAAAGTAAAAGTGAAACGAAAAGTAAGCCGCGATTTAAACAAAGTAACGTCTAAAAACTGAAAGGTAAGTGAATGTAAATTACTATACATTTTTTAACAGCTGTAGTTATGTATATTCGTATGCATTAATATGTAAACCCAATAATGTTTTTCATACACTCACTATTGGGCATTGCTATTCGTAAACTGAAGGTTTAGGGATTTCAAATACGAGTATGTATTCTAAAACCGATTTTCAAAGCTCTTATAAAATATATATATATAATAATAAGAGTACATATAATAATAATTAAACGATTCCCTAATCAGTTTAGTATAAAATTCTTGGTAGGACCGTCTAAAGAGACGAGAAAACTGGAGAAATAACAGATGGCAATTTATTGTTCAGTTTCATCCGCACTTAGTTAACCTTACCTGTTGCTGTATGTATGTACGAGTATGTTAATAATATATACATATGTACGTATACACACTTTCTGGCTTGGCTTACGGTTGCTAGCGAAAGGTTAACGTGGGTGTGAAGCCAGTTTGAGAAACAAAATAATAATATAATAATGAGCTCTGTGCGCAGCAAAAACAAATAGAAAAAAAATACCGTGCGGCGCTAAAAGAGTAAACACCGCTATGTTGAAAAAGAAAATAAAAAAGAAACCACCTACCTACGGAGGTTAAATGATCTGGGGTACAAGGCTTGTAAGATAATTTGACTGACAGTGGTTTCTGTTGCTGTCGTAGTATCTGTTAGGCAGTCATTCATTTTTTCCAATAATTGTTGAACATCGTGTAAGCTTAGAAAGGTATATCCGTACTTAGTGGAAGGTAGATGTATGTATGTATGTATGTATATGGATCTTATTCTCCGCACAAACGCGTTGTTTATGATTTCTTGTATTCGTTCATTGATTTTATCATTAATTAATTATAATTGAAAATGAAAGTATTTATGAGAAATGATATTGTTGCTCTTGTTATAGTTGTTGTAATTTATTGTTTTCCTTTACTCTAAGATTTTAGCGAGATGAGATGGCATAAATTGCCAATTAACGATAATATGACATACATACAGTTTCTGCATTTATAGCCGAAACTCGAGTTAACTCTAAATGATCGATATCGAATTGAATGCTCTCTGAAGCAGAAAATATGTACATAAGAGTATTTCAATATTTAGTTTTTGACTAGCATTCCTCTGGGAGTGGCCGAACGTGATTATATTTCATATGCTTCAAGCACACGACTTCCCGTCATAGACAAGTTAGCCTGTGGGTAGCCAACAACTAAAAGATCCAGAAAAACTAGAGTGAGTAGGCAATCCCCGGTGGAAATGCGTTGGGTATCTTCAGTACAACAGTCGGAAAAATCAGACTACTCGACTGAACAGTCTTCCAGTCACGGAATTGGATGTTTTGTTTGGGATTGCTGCTTTGCAGCTCTCTTTGAGTATCGATTTGAACGGGCTTTCTTCTTATGTACTTAAAATGTCTATTACCGCTCCCTTAAAATACATTTTTAATCTTTTTTTATCGTCTGGCGTTTTCACGAAAAATTGCTTCTATCTCTCAGTTGCTTAAGTCTGGTAACAAAAATCAGGTTTATAGGCCTATATCTAAATCACCGACTTGTGCGAAACTTCTCGAGAAAGTAGTAAAGGATAAATTGTTGTTGTATTGATTGCATTAGCCCGCACCAGCGTGATTCTAATAGCAGTCGTTCTACTGTCACTTACCTAACCTGTTTTTCTCGTTATTGCATTGCAGCTTTTAAGATGGATATTAAGTTGATGTCGTATATACCGATTTTTTGAAAAATCTTTGATACTGTCCCACATAGCATTTTATTTATCTTGAAAACTCCAATTCAACATAAGAGAATCTATCGGACAGATATGATCTAAGCCAAGATAGAAAAGAAGGGTGAAAACCTCTGGAGTGGCTAGGTTTTCACCGTTCTTTTCTATCTTGGCTTAGATCATATCTCTCGGTTAGATTCTCTTATGTTGAATTGGAGTTTTCAAGATCCTATGCCTTTGGGGCACCTCTAGGTAGCAATCTTGGTCCTTTATTATCTCTTCTTTTTATAAGTGACACTCGAACTTGCTTTAGGAATTCAAGACTCCTGCTTTATGTAGACGATCTAAAACAATTTTGATACATTCGATGTTTTTCAGACGCTTTACTTTTACAGAAGGATCTTCACATCTTAGCCAATTAACAAAATAAAGGTTTTAACATTACTTTTTCAAAGTGCTCGCATGTGCTCAGGTCGATTTATTATCTATTTGATCATAAGCTATCTTTTTTAAATGTAAAAATTGAATATCCTAACGAATATTTCTACTTGCTCTCCTTCGCCACCAGATTCCTTCGTCTCGCTTCCTTAGTCAGTCTATATAAAGCAGTACTGGCTGCACGGTAATTGAGGCCGACGATGTTAAAATGATCGGCATCTGCCCGAAGTTATATACAGTGAAGAACTTAAGTTTTGGCGCAGCAAGATAGTTCAACTTTAACACCTTTCTTTGACCACTTATGAAAATATTTGTATAATTGTTTTTGCTAATAGCAATCGAATTTTTAATGGTGTGAAATGCTGATAGTCCGTAATGATCGACGCATTCCATGTATAATTGGCAATTTATAACCGCTGGAATGATTTTCGGCAGAGCTCCTCCTCCAAATTGTGGTTTTGCGTCTTGATGTTTTTCCCACAAATGCAGAGATCTACAGTTTACACTAATCCGCCTCCGAACGGCTGATGGATTTTTTATGAGAAGCTTTTGATTTTTATGTTAGAAATACACACAGTGTAGTTGACATTCCTTACCGAGGGGCGATCGCAATTAGAAAATTGAACGTAATTTTTTTTCTTAAATTAATTTTCCATAGCTTTTAGATGTTGGTCAGACCAGGGTTTAAACCCGATTAATGCTAACCACTCGGCTACCGCGTCCGCCTCGAAGTTATGTACTCTCCTTCAAATTTGGTCCTACTATGCCTGCTTTGCAGCTCATATTACTTTCTACTTCACTCAAATAAAGAAGTCGCATCGTAAATATTTAACTCATCGATTTACCGTATCAAACGGCTCTGGAGGTGATAACGGATCTTGTGATACTGTCCAAATCGATGAAAATAAGATTTGTGCGTTCGCTCCATAAACACATGCTCCACAAGCTCTTCTTTCAATGCCACTCAGAACTCTTTCAATTTAAACCCTTCATGAACATTAACTTTGCTCCGAAGCATGTAAGCGCGAGAAGGAAAAGGCACACATACTCGTAGATAGACCCATCAAAATGTATACCACTAAGAGCGGAATGACGAGTTGAGCTCAGTTAACTATTTCTGCCTGCTCTGCTGTCCATCTGCTGTTTGTCATCATTCAGATTTGTGCTTTTTGGTCAAAAATCCGTCTCAAAAACATCTGAAAGCAGTTTGATATTCTCACATCTACATCCATATACATACCTAAGTACATATTGACACCGAAAATCATCGAACACTATTTCCTTTAGCCTTCTGGCAGCCGAATCTTCAGATATTGTCAGCTCTTGCTACCGTGCAGGGAGAAGATAGACAGACTGGTATGCAATAAATCGAAAAATCGGATTGAATCTAGTATTTCGTAGTTGAAATTCTATCAGTTTTTGTAAGGCAGTCCAACAGTAACAGGAGAAATCATAATTTCCACCACCATTTATTGTTGTTACCTCGTCACGACCTGTCTGAATTTTATTCTCTGCTCTGTGCTGTTGATGTGTGTATAACGACGTTGATCGTTACATCATTACTAAAGCCGACTGGTTAGAGGTTATCGCTGAAGTGCGTTGGTTCCCGATTCGATTATCACTAGAGGCACATTCATTTTTTCTTAATTTTTGGTAAAGCAGAATTTTTTACCATCTTGTCGTCCGTTGTTGTTGTTGTTTTGAGTATGCCAATACTGAGTTTCATTTCCGAATAAATTCTGTTGAATAGCGCATATTTCGTTACTCTTTACAACACGTATTGTTTCGAGGTAATCAGTGTGGAGCGTGAGGTACGCGGCAAACCCATGTCTAAATGAACTAGTATACAACTATTATGAAGCTGTTGTATAGTCGGACAATTGTTAGCCGAGTTATAAATACCACCTGCAGTTGGATGGGAAGTAGTCAGTGTAAAAGTGAAAAGCAAAGAATCCATCTAGGTGACAACTAGTAATTTTCCCTGCAAGGCAATTATCCCAGCCAGCAAGATAGGCTGCCTTTTTTCTCTCCAAAGCGGTAAAAAAAACCTTCATCTTAGCACAATTTTTCATTATTTTACTTTAATTAATTGTGAATTGTAATTGTGTGAAAAACCACATGCTTTTAGTCTTTTGTTAATGTAAATAGACTATTGAAATGTGCTTACTCTAATCAGCCCACAAAAAATGATATATTTTTATTCGCATCCTGCCGGTATCTACATACAATACAACTCAGCAATTACGTCACATCCTTTGGGTAATTGAGGAAATCGCTGACGATTTCAAACGATACGATACATAACATTAGTGCCTTAATCATTAACAACAATTTGTTTTTTTTCAGAAAATAAACTATAATGAAACTTGTGTTTTTAATTGCAAATCTCATAAATTTTTATCCTTTTCCCAGTTTTTTAACAAAGAGGTCACCATGGTGAAAGTTGTTATGCGTAGTTTGTTTTACCATAATTATTTAAATATATCTACGAATATTATTTGTATTTTGAAAGTAAGTTTCGTAAGAATAATTTTTTATTTGCACAAGAAAGACGACCGAACAGACAGACAAAAGTGACTTATTGTTGCTGGCACAATTCTGTGAAATTTCAATATATTTATATGTATGTATCTATATGTTACGCCAGTTTTTCTGTAGATTATTTTATGCTGTTTAATAGTACAACCGTTAATAAATAAAAAACGTGTTAAATACCCTGCAGGGAAAAGGTAGACTCGTATGCAGAAATAATAGTTAAATACTAGTATTCCAAAGCGAAATCATACCAGTCTGTAAAGCAGAAATATACTAGTATTTTTAAGACAAAAATATACTAG